GGGGGGGGGCTCTGCCAAAACCACCCTGGGACTGGGGGGGGTGGAACAGACTTTTGGGGTGCAAGACCCCCCCCCGGGAATGTTTTTGTAAGTCTGGGGGGGGTCATACTCACCATCAAAATAGTGCCAGGACTCCCCGAAAAAATGGGGTTTATTAGAGACCCCCGAGCGCCGCCGTCCCTGGGGGGGCCCTGCAAAAGGGTTGGGCTGGGTTGGGGGGGGGCCTGCAGGGTGGCTGGGGAGGGTCCGTGTGGTTTTGGGGGTCTCCACGTGGTGTGACGAGTGTCTGGGGGGTTTGGGGGTCTCCCTGGGGGTCCGGGTGGGTTTGGGGGTGTCTCGGGGTGTCCCTGCTCTCCGCCGGCGGCTCCCCCTGCCCCCCTTTCCCCCTCAGCTTTTCCCTCCATTTTGGGCCACATTTCCCTTCACATTTTCCTGCCACATCCCCCCCTTCCCCCCTCACACTTTCCCCCCTCTTTCACCCATTTCCCCCTCAGTTTTCCCCTCCTTTTCCTCTCAGGATTTTCCCCATTTTCCTTCCTTTCTCCCATCACACTTTTCCCCTCATTTCCCCCTTTTTCTCCTCACACTTTCCCCCTCATTTTCCCTCAATTTTTCCCTCCTTTCCCCTCCCACTTTTCCCCTCCCACTTTTCCCTCTCAGATTTTCCCCTCACAGTTTTCCCTCTATTTTTCCTTTTCCCCCTCACACTTTTCCTGCCTTGTCCCCTCAGTTTTCCCTCCTTTTCTCCTCCATTTTTCCCTCTTCATCCCTCAGCTTTTCCCTCCTTTTTCTCTCAGGCTTTTTTCCCCTATTTCCCTCCCCTTTCCCCCCATTCTTTCCCTTTTCTCCTCACACTTCCCCCATTTTCCCCTCCCCTTCTGTTCTCATTTTCACATTTTCCCCCTCACTCTTTCTCCTCTTTCCCCCCCTTTTCCCCTCACACTTTTCCTTCCTTTTCACACTTTTCACCCTCTTTTCCTCCCCTTTTCTCCCCATTTCCCTCCACAGCCCCCAGGACCCCCCTGGGGGGCGTTTTAGGGCTGTCCCTGCTCTCCACCGGTGGTTCTCACTTGGTTTTTGGGGGTCTCCATGAATTTTGGGGGTCTCCATGGGGACTTTCAGGGGTGTCCATGGAGGTTTGGGGGGCTCCATTTGTATTTGGCAGCTCCATGGGGGATTTTGGGGGTCTCTGCAGGGGTTTGGGGTCTCCACGTGACTCTAGGGGATCGCTGCAAGTTCTTGGGGTTCCCCATGTGTTTTTGGGGGTCTCCATCACGTGGTTTTTGGGGGTGTCCAGGTGTTTTGGGATTGTCCCTGCTCTCCGCCGGCGGTGCTCCCCGCGCCCCCGAGGGGGGTCCCTCGCCCCCCGGGTTTTCGGGGGCGCCCCAAAAGAGTCTCCCCCCGATTTGGGGGGTGGTCTCTCACCGTTAGTTGGGGGGCTGCCGGCGCTGAACCAGGCCAGGAACCCCCTCCCGGCCGTGCCGCCGTCGCTCTCCATGCGCAGCCGCAGCCGGTTGTGGGGGGCCCGCAGAGCCCCCGGCCGGAACGTGCCGCAGAAACGCCCCAAGAGCGGCGCCCCCGGGCCGTGCCCCCCGAACACCGAGAGCGAGTCGAAGCGGCACAGGGGGTCCGGCTCCAGGTCGAAGACACGGAAGGACAGAGTGGCCACCTGGCCCTCGGGGACCTGGGGGGACATTACAGGGCCGGGGTGTCACCGGCTGGCCCTTGGGGACATGGGGGGGTCAGGGTGTCACCACCTGGCCCTTGGGGACATGGGGGACATTGGGGGGGTCAGGGTGTCACCACCTTGGGGACACGAGGGGACTTTGGGGTATCACCACCCCACCCTGAGGGACACGGGGGCACGTGGGGACTTTGGGGACATTGGGATGTCACCACCCGGCCCTTGAGGGGATATGGGGTCACACCGGGGGGACATGGGGACACAGGGCAGTGTCACCACCTGAACTTCGGCCACCTGCAGGACATGGGGACACCTGGGGACAGGAGGGGGGAAGAGCTGGGATGGCTCTTCCAGGGAGACCAAGGGGATGGGTTGGGATGTCCCTGGAGGGGTTGGGGTGACCCTGGAAAGGTCTGGGTGGTACCCTGTGAGGGAGGTGGGGTGCCCTGGGGGGATTTGGGGCGCCCAGGGGTGTCTGGGGTGCCCCGGGGGGGGGTGGGGGGCCCCGGGGGGGGCTGGGGGGCCCCCGGGGGGCCGGGGGGGGGTGGGGGGGGGGGGGGGGGGGTAGTGCCGGGGGAAGCCCTCGCTGGCGATGAACCCCGACTCCCCTCGGTGGTCCCCCCCACACGGGAACACCGGCCTGGGGGGACACGGCACGGGGGGATCATTGGGGGGCACAGACGGGGGGAAACCCGAGCTTGGGGGGTCCCAGGCCCAGGATTCTACCCTGGGCTAAGGGGGGTCCTGGTTCCGGGGGGTCTTGGGGGGATCCTGGGTCTGAGGGGGGGGTCCCAGCTCCCGGTCCTGGCCCAGGGGGGGTCCGTGTTCCCAGGAGGGAGTCCCGGACAGGGGTGTCCTGTGCCGGCCAAGGGGGTCGGTCCTGTCCCGGGAGGAAGGGCCGTCCCGGAGGGTGTCGATCCCATCCCGGGGTGCCACGTTCTGGGGGAGGCCCCGTCCCATCCCGGGGGTGTCCTGTCCCAGGGATCCCGGTGTCCGAGGGTCCTGTCCCGCCCCG